ACCGAGCAGGGGCTGGGTCCTTGTTAAAGCTGCTGCCTGCAGAGGCCTCAGAGATGCCACTCAGTGCCCTTCCCATGGGTCACACAGGATCCCTGCTCCATGAGGGCAGAGCCTGCCCAGCAGAACTGGAGGCCACAGCACTCACCCTGCCTCCCTGCTGCCTGCCCCCGGCTACAAGCCCCCCAGTCTCTGAAGTCCTTCCTTCATCTTGTCCACATTCCTTTGCAAAAACTCACCAAAGTAGAACTCGGGATGACTCATTTGCAGGCCAAAGTGCCTGAAGAGCCTTTTAATGAGATTTTTTTCAAGGCTTTTCATCCCTTTCCTCCACTGCCAGCCTTTCCAGAGACAGGAAACTGTGTTAAGAGTTTGACATTTTCTTGCCAATTTCTCAGCTCAACCCTTTGCTCCCTGAGGCTGGAGTCAGAGTACCCAGGGGCCAGTGGTGGGCGCCAGGTCAATGAGTTGGCGGGCAGCCAAGGGGGAGAGTTCTGCAGGCAGGAAGGGGTAAGGAAACTGTTCAAGAGTAATCAGGCAGAATCGCTGAAGACGATTCACAGGTGGGGGCCCCCTGCCATGGAGGGGGCTCCGAGATGGGATGAGGTGTGTGCCGGCACCACCGTGGGTTACTGCAAGTGCAGAAAGTTGGGGGGTGGGATGCAGACAGGTGGCAGCTTGGGCCAGTCCAGGGACCTATCTGGTCACCACAGTGGGAAGCTGTCACCATCTCTGTGGTCGGTGGTCAGCTGCCAGCCAGGCAGCCTTACATCAACCCCGAATCCCTTCCGGGGGTCAGTTTCCCCACCCAGGAAGCAAAGGGATTGGAGTAAATGGGCCTCAAACACTTCCAGGTTTGACATTGGAAGACCTTTCGACTGGGTGTAAGGAATGCTGGGGAGGAGATGGGAGGACATGGCTGGGAGCCCCATGGCCTCCACTCCAGTCTTGGCTCTGCTGTGGACCCTGGCAGGCATTCAGCTTCTCCCAGCCTAAGATGAGGAAGAATATGCCTCACAGCAGGACCCCAGTGAGTGCACCCTGCACATCAGTGGCCCTATCACTGAGAACTGCATCTCAACTCTTCTGGGAGCCCCTGAGACCCGCCAAGGCTCTCCTGCACCTCCACGTCTCTGCCTGGGCCGTCCCCTCTACCTGAGCTGCCCTGCTAGCCATCCCTGTCTGGGGAACACCTGGCTTCCCTTGAAGGCTCACATGCAGGCTTCTCCCTGCAGCTTCTCCTGACTCTCTGTGGCAGGGACCGCCCACCCACACCGAGCTCTGGGCTCCCAAGATCCCCTGTGCAGACCTATGTACAACACGACACAGGTTGGCCTGGCCAGGCTGAGCCCCTGGAGGCTGGGCCTGACTGTTCTCACCTCTGGACTCTCTCTGATGCCCAGCCCAGTGGCTGGTACAGAGGGTTCTGAAAAATACCTGCTGAGGGAAGGGTGGACGGGGTGTCCTCTGAGGCTGAACTCCCCCAGATGCTTTCTTCACCCTAGAACACCCTCAGGGCAGGACAAGCTCACATGAAAATGGCCAGAGGTGGATAACCAGCATAGCTGGAATTCCCATGTCAATTTGCACCAAGCTCCTGACAGTGTCAGGAATGCTATTTCCCACCCACCCCTGCCAGGCAGGCCGTGAGTATCTGAGAGAACAGGCCCCTCACTTGGTGGCTGACAACGATGGTGCTTGCTCCAGGCAGCCAGGACATGCAGTACCAGGACAGCTTCCCTTGTGGTTGAGGTGATTCTTTCCAGGGCGTTGCTCCCCAGCCAGCAGTGGGACTGGTCATCAGGAGCTGGGGCTCCTCTGGGAAGCAAGTTCATCTCCCCTGAGTGGGTTACCTGGCTTGGCCATAGGAGGCCTAGCCCAGCCCACCTCCCCAGTTCTGGCATTCTTCAGGGGAAAGCTGGGCAGGTGAGAACACCCCTGGTCTTTGGAGGTGGTGATCTAATGCCTCTAGATCTGCATGCAAAACTAGACTCCCACCTCTAGCTCCTTTGGGTGCAGATCAGTCACCCAAATGACAGTTCCTGATAATCAGGTCCATGGGACGGGTGCAGGAAGGCAAACACAGAGTCTGATGGTAGAGGCTGCTGGGCTGCCTTCTCAGTCTCCCTCCACCTCCTCCCCTCACCTGGGAGGTGCAGGTGGTCCAGCCCACAGATGGGGACATGGGGAGAGTTAGAGAACCCCCGATGTCATTGGTGGAGGTGGCCTTAGAGCCCATCAAAGCCCAACTCCCCACTGGACAGATGTAGGGCAAGAAACGTACCCCAGGGTCACACAGGGAGCAGTGAGTGGCAGGACAGGACTCCTATCCAGAATTCTGGACAATGAGTCCTTCCTGAGGCTGTTAAAAATGGACTTCAATCAAACTGCAGGGCTGACCCCAGAAAACAGGGGCAGGGTAATGGGAATCACACTAGATAACACTGACACGGCGCTGGCTGGGCTGGGGACGCTGTCTGTCAGCAGCTCATTGCCATACCCAGTGCACAGATGGCCAAGGCCATAAGGCCAGTGACTGCAGGAAGCCAGGCATGAGGCCCGTCCCCTGCCTTCCCCACCAAACGCAGCCGGGCCCTCGGGACTACATGCCTACGCTGTGAGGGTAGAATCAACGTGTCGTCAAGGGCGGTCCTACGTCTAGGGAATGGCACACCCCAGCGACGAGGGGAAACGATGCTCCTGGCCCTCTGAGCCCCGCTGTGAGCTGGCATCTGGGCCTGCTTTTATAACTGAGGGTGCACTGCACAGGAGATTGAGAATTCCGCAGGAGACAGCTGGTGCTATTACTTCTGCCACTGGGTCTAGGTTCCTTGTGTGCTCCCTGGTTGGGACCTCAGCCCTGGCACATCCTGGGTACTCAATAGGCTGCTGTTCCCTCGAAGGCAGGTCTGCACTGGAGTCACCACAGGGTCCCAGTGCCAGCCAGGCAGGCCCTCAGTTCAGGGGCTCAGCACTTCCCCACCTCTGCCTGGATGAACATGAAGCTGGAGCAGCTGACGGGGCTCTGGCCCTCCAGGATGAATGGACAGGCTTGGCATGGAGTGCTCTGTCCAGTCCTCCCTGCTCCTTTCGTGGAGTCCCCTCCAAGCCAGGCCCCCAGCCACGGGGATTCCAGGAGGAATGAGGTTCACTGAGGAACTCAGAGACAGATGGGGAGGGAGACAGAGTAACAACCCCAAATGACCAGTGCCCCAGAGAGTCCCTGGAGCACTGAGGAAGCCCAGTACGCAGGGAAGGCCGGTGACACTGAGTCCTGTCGCTGATGCCACCTGCTTCCTTTACCTCTCACAGCCCAGAAGAGTGCCACTCACCTTGATGGCGCCATCAGCACGCCTGGTGACATGCACACCCCCCTGCCGCTGCCCTCTCCTCAGTCCAATTCCGCTCCTCTGGTTTTAGCCAGTCCTGCCCAGCCCCAGAGGCAGTTTAGCACATTGAACTTTCCTTGGCTGCCATAACCGATCCGATTCTTTCAGTCACCAGGTCTGATGGCAGACAATGAATTACGCAGGCACCAGCAGCCTGGAGAAGAGCAAAGTACCTATCTCTTGTTTGTCTGGAGTGCCCTACCCGCTGGCTAGAAGTTCCCTCTGCATCCTCTCTGGTTAGGCGGTGGTCCAGCCTTTGGTCTTCTTCCCCCGGTGATGACAGGCTCACTACCTCGAGGCCGCTTGGGTAGCTCTAATTCTTGATCTGCTCTGGCTGTTAGGAAGTTTTTCCTCTTGCAGAGCTAGAATCTGTCTATCCATCGTCTGCCCAGAAGTCCCTAATCTGCTCATCGGTTCCCTCTGCCCTGACAGTCCTTGAGAGACGCATGGTCCCCGCCCCGTGTCCACATGCTCTCTTTTCTCTAGGTGGACTCCCAAAGCCTGTGTGCCATGTCCTGCCTGCCTCTGCCCGTGCCTGCCGCCCTCCTGACTCTGCAGTTTGTCATTGTCCCTTTCAGGGCAAAGCCCAGAAAATGCGGGGGGAAGAGTCAGTCATCAGCAGAGAACACAGGCCAGTTTCACTTTCCTTGGTTTTACTGAAGCCTCTGTCTACATGGCCGGCATGTGTGTGGGCTCTCCTGACAGCCGTGTCCCCGCAGGCCTGCTCTCCCTCCCATGGCCTCTAACAGCGGTAAGTGGGACAGAGAGGATGCCAGGCAGAGGGCTTCACTGCTTCTGGGGGGTCTGTGGGTCTGTGCTGGCTGAAGAGCCTGGGTTTACACCCCAATTATGTCACCAGCTCTCTATGTGTCCTTGGCAAATCTGTCCTTTCTCTGGGCCTCAGTTTTTCTGCAACATGGGTTTAGACATTCTTTTGGGTCCCGTCCAGCAATAGCACCCAACTAAAACACCCTTTTCTTATTTCTGGACCTGCCCATCCTGACAGAAAAGCCTCACAGGTCAGAAAGATCTGAGAGTTTCCAAAGCTGCCACAGGCAGTAACACCAGCTCTTCCCGGCGCTCCTCCTAGACTTTGCGCGAACCCAAACTCAGGCCCACCCAAACTGCAAGCCAGAGCACTGGGAAAGGGTCATGCTCTCGGTGGCAGAGAGTTACGGGTTGGTCACAAGTCTTGGCCCAGCCGCTTGGGCCAGTCACACCCCCCTCCGTGAGCCTGTTTACCCATCTGCAAACTGGGGACAATATGTTCCTCAAAAAAATGAAAGGACCGTCGTGGGCTCTGAGAGAGGGATGAGGCATGCTAGGAGCTTCGTACCACCCCGCCTCACAGCAGATGTGAAAGCTATTCTCGGATAGTTAATATAAAATCCTAGGAAAAGGCCCCTCGTCTTCTGGGAGGGCAGCAACGGCAAACATAAAAACTCCTCTGTATCCCAGGAGAATAGGATCAAATCGAAAAACCCAGGCTTGAAATAACGTGTGCTGGCAAGTTTCCCAGGGGACACTGGCAGGTCTTTCCGCCACAGGCACAGTGGCCAGCTGTGCCCGCGGAGGCTGCCAAGGAGGGCTGGGGGTGCTCGGGGCGGCACTCACCTCAGGGAGAGGGAGTAGTCATGCTTGCTGGTCTGGCTGTTCCGGACAAGGTAGCTACACTCCTTGCAGAGTCGCAGCAGGTTCTCAGCGTCTCCTCTGCTGATGGCTCCATGATACCATCTGTGGAGAGGGCAGAGCGCAGTCAGAGCCCAGCACGATGGGATTCCCATGGCCCTAACCTGCCTTGGGAGGCTCAGCACCCGCAGCGAGCCTCCCTACACAAGCAGGCATGCACTGGTTCATTCCGTGGGTATCCACTGCCCGCCTGCTGCTGCCGGGTCCTGGGGAGAGCACAGCAAACAAAACCCAGTCTCTTTTCACGGGAAGCTTACGCTCTGGTGCAGGGAGTCAGGCCACAGACACTCAAGTCATCACAGAGCACACAGTGTGAGGACAGGCACCATGGAGATGAAGTGGCATAGGGTCATGTGGCTGGGGGCTAGTGGGGGACTATTTCAGGCAGGGTGGCCAGGGAAGCCTTTTCAAGGTGTGGTGGCTCATGCCTGTAATCCCAGCACTTTGGGAGGCCGAGGCGGGTGGATCACCTGAGGTCAGGAGTTCAAAACCAGCCTGGCTAACATGGCGAAACCCCATTTCTACTGAAAATACAAAAATTAGCCGGGCGTGGTGGTGGGCGCCTGTAATCCCCCTTACTTAGGAGGCTGAGCCTGGAGAATCACTTGAACCTGGGAGGCAGAGGTTGCGGTGAGTTTAGATCACACTACAGCACTCCAGCCTGGAAGACAGAGCAAGACTCTGTCTCAAAAAAAAAAAAAAAAAAGAAAAAGAAAAAGAAAAGAAAAAAAAGAAGAAAAAAAGTGACATTTCAGTGTAGACTTGCAGGAGGGGAGGAGGGAAGCCAGAGAGGAACTTTCTTGGTAGACAAATCAGCAGCGAAGGCCAAGGCAGAAAACTGCCTAGAGTGCTCTGGAAACAGCCAGGGGCCAGCATGGACAGACAGAGGCAGCAAGGGGGAAGGGGTGGGCAAGAGGTCTGGAAATGGGGCTGCAGCAGGGGCTTTTCTGTTTGAGCAACATGGAAACCATCAGAGGGCGCTGACGGGAGGGCCACGCTCTGACTCAGGGATGTGTGCAGCGACATGGATGGTGGGCAGTGAGGTAGTTGTCCGTGCTCCTGCCAGATGGCTCTAGCACCACTTGAGCATGTGGGAATCCCAGCATTACTGCTCCCAGACACCCAACATGCCAGAGGAGGGCAGGCGGCAGAATCTGAGGAGAGGAGTGCCATGCAGAGGGCCCGACTCATCCCCCATCTCCCATCAGAGGAGGAAATGGGCACAATAATTTTCTTTCTTTTTTTTTAGACAGGGTCTCATCCTGTCACCCAGGCTGGAGTGCCGTGGTACGATCACAGTTCACTGCTGCCTCAAACTCCAGGGCTCAAGCAATCCTCCCGCCTCAGCCTCCAGAGTAGCTGGGATTACAGGTGTGTGCCACCACACCTGGTTATTTTAAAATCTTTTCTAGAGACAGGGTCTCACTATGTTGCCCAGGCTAATCTCGAATTCCTGAGCTCAAGTGACCCTCCCACCTCACCTCCCAAAGTGCCAGGATTACAGGAGTGAGTCATTACATCTGGCCTGATTTTCCTTGTGTGTGTGTGTGTGTTTCTTTTTCTTTTTCTTTTTTTGGTTTTTAGAAACAGGTTTTCACTCTGTTGCCCTGACTAAAGTGCAGTGGTGTGATCATGGCTCACTGCAGCCTTAAACTCCTGAGCTCAAAGGATCCCCCTGCTTTGGCCTCCCAAGTAGTGGGACTATAGGCACGCACCACCATGCCTGGCTCACTGATTTTCACGACTGGAAGAGCTGACAGTAAAATTGCAGGGCAAGAATAAAGATCCTCATTGCCCATGAGTGGACACACTCAAAATACATTCCTGTTTACATGACGGTCTCTGTGGGGCAGTGGAGGGGGTGAGACTCAGCCATGAGAGGCAGAGGCACTGAGCATTACCATGGCTGGAGTGTGCTTTGTCCACAGAGACAAGGATGCTGCTCCAAATGGTGGCTCTGCTGCCCACTGGCCAGGCAAGCCACTGACCAGGTGGCTTCTATTACGGGAGGATCATGCCAACCTCTCTTGGGTTGTGAGAATGTAACAAGTGGCCCCACAGCAAGGGCTAACGTAGAGCCTGATGTGGGGCGAGTCTTAACTGACAGCAGCTGCAGCATTAGTAGAAAGAGACTGCCCTTGCACACCACGTGGTGACATCCCCATCTACAATGGTTGCAGGCCCCTGCCCATCCAGAGGCTGCATTTTACATTTCCAGGTGCAAATGGGGATGCTGCCTCCCGGTGCCTGTCTCAGGGTGTCCTGCAAACCGTGCCCCTGAGAGTTCCAGCACTGACATTCTCCTCAGAGAAAAACCCACACCGCCCATCCCCGTGCAATTCCCCCCACTCACAAGGCAGAGCTCAACAGTTAGTAACAGTGGCCACAGCAAAATTAAAACTCTAAGAGAAAAAATCAACTTTAAAGTCAAGGACTGGAGAGTAAATGTGAGTGTCCTTGTCCAGTGGGAATGTGGCCAAGCGGTGGATGGTCCAGGCGGTGGCCACCAAGCTGGACATCCGGAGGGGAGACCTTCTAGGGGAGAAGGCAGGAAGAGCATGCAGACCACAGACCCCATTCTTTCTAAAGGTACAGAGAAATATGTAAAGAGGAACGTGAAGTTGGGGGATGCATGGGTTGCCACAATTAAAACACCACAAGTAAAACATTTCCTGAGACATGAAGGCCCATGTTATGCTTTAGAAAGGCTACATGGCTGTAATCAGGAGAAACAAAGACAGCACTGACTTTGGAAGTAAGAGTTAACAGGTTTGGGAAGGCTGTCCTCTGGGAGATTTCACTGTGTAACACACCCTCAGTGAATGGACAAAAACGTTTTATTAGAAAAACAAGTCCCAGCAATTTGAAGCTGAGCCGTCCTCAGGGAAAGGCCTAGAAGTGGTCCCTGGGGAGGTGCTGCCTGCCGTCCACCCTCCCTGAGCTCAGGAGCAAGCCCTGCTCTGAGGAGGGGCATGGCCTCTGGATTCCTGTTAAGGGGAATCCGGGTGGTTAACACGATAAGCTACCAGTCCCTTCCCCGACCGCTCCACACAGAGGCAAGGGCAGGGGACAAGGGACTGAGGAACAAAGGAGAGAAGGAGCAGAGGGTGCTGGATCTGGAGGCCAGGCCGGCACTGGTCAGCCTGTCAGCAGGAGGCTGGAGACCAGGAGTCAGGCTGGGCTGGGCGATCCTGTGGGGGGCTACGGCTAACTGTTGGGCCCACATAGGCCTTGCTTCACCTGGAAAGAGAATCCAGGCAGGAGGTCATCTCAGGGATGGGCTGGACCTCATGGGGTTGGCCAGTCAGGTCAGAACCAGGGGGATTAGGGAGACTCAACTTTCGTCCCTCACTCCAGCCAATACCCATGAGCTCATCCAGTATTTACTCACTACTCACCATATCCTTGATCTCACGGGGCTGACGGAGGGAGAGAGAGAGTCAACAGAGAGATACAGGAAACAATTCCAGATAGTGACGAGGGCTATGCAGGCATCCTGGGGTTACGATAAGGCAGTGACTGGGGTTGGGTGAGATGCCTGCTTAGAAATGAACAGACAGGGGAGGCCCCTGAGGAGATGACATGTGGCCTGAGAACATGAGAAGGAGCCAATTGTGAAGAGCTAAAGAAAACATCTTCTCTGCAAAAAAGGCAGCAAGTGCAAAAGTCCTGAGGTAGGAATGCGCCTGGCGCGCACAGAGCAGAAAGGCGGCAAGAACGGCCCAGGCACTGTGAGCAGCAGGCAGGAGGTGGGCCCAGTTCTTGTGCCCAAGAGGAGAAGTCTGATTTCATCCTCAGCAGTAAGAGTCTTAAGAGATGTTTGCCCTGGGAAATCTTACAGACGGTCAGTCAGCTTGGCCTGAGGAAGGGTCAGAGAAGACAAGTCAGGATGTTAGTGCAGTAGTTCACATGGCAGGTGGCTGTGGAGGTGGAGGAATGATGGATTCTGGTCATCCTTTGGAGGGAACACTGGCAGAATGTGGTAAAGCAACAGATGCTGGTGTCCGACAAAAAAAAGGAATTAAGATGATGCCGGGTTTGTGGCTTGAGCCACACCTAGTTAGATGTGACACCTAGTTAGATGTGTTTATGGAGGTGTGGAAGCTGGGGGAGGAGCAAGTTTTGAGGAGAAGATCAGAAGCCCAGTTTTGAACACGTGAAGTTTGAGATGCCCACTTGTCAGCCAAATGGAGATGCCAGGAAGCAACTGGACGTAGGAGTCAGGAGCTCTGGGAGAGGTGTGGGCTGGTGCTATGCATCTGTGAGTCACCACCAGGATCCTGGGAGAGACAACCCAGGGAGAGCACGTGGTTGGAGACTGAGCCCTGCAAAGTCGGATCTTCAGGTCAAGAAGAGGCAAGGAGCCAGCAGAGGAGATGGAATAGTGGCCACGGAGGCAGGAGGAGCACCAGGCCCAGAGGCCCAGAAGGAGAGTGGTCAACTGTGGTGACTGCCATGGAGGACAGAGGGGGTCGTCTGGGGACCCAGGCTGGTTGTGGTGGGTGAGAGAGAAGGGGAGGTGACAGAGAGGGGAGAAGTGCTGGCAGCTCTTTGGATACTGTTCATTCATGCAACAGCTATTTATTCAACACCTGTTACGTGCTGGGCACTGTTCTGGGCACAGGGGATGCAGTGGTGACTTAGACAAGTTCCTGCCCTCATGGAGTTTCTGTTCTCAGCAGGCGCAGTACCTAGAGAGGAATGTTGGGTCAAGGTTTTTTTTTTTTTTTTTTTTTTTAAACTTATGTTGGCAAAGTTTGTTACTGGGACATGTTTATACACTGATGGTAATGATGGAGGAAGGAAGAGGGGTATGTGTGGGGCTGCCTCCAGGAGGCAGTGGGGACAGACCCTGAGCACTGGAGCAGCCTTTCTGCTGTCCCAGGAGGCGAGGCAGGTGGTATGGGCACCTAGGCAGATGTGTGCCTGCCCATCCACGGCCGCCCCGTGTGACCTGGGGCATACCTCCAGTGCCTCGGTCTCCCCTCCTACCTCCCTCTGTGCTAGGGTGGAGGAGAGGTTCAGACCGGAAGGCGCCTCCTGAACTCCAGAGCAGCATCAGTCCAGCAGGGGACGAGGTGATCCTCTTTAGTGGGGTCATCAGGCTCTATCCAAAGTGGGATTTTACCTTAAGCACACCCCTTGGGTGATGAGTCAGGACTTCTGACTCATCTTGGGGAGTTAATCGTGGAGAGATGAGACGATGGGGGAGGAAAAGCCAGTCATGACTCTGGACTTGGCTGGGGGCCCCATCAAGCGGGAATGGGAAAGGAAAGGCAGCCCAACTCCCCCAACCTTGCGATGAAGGCTGAGTCCGGGGATGGGAGAGGGCAGGCTGGGCCCAGACTGACCCAGGCAGACCTGGCCACTGCTGGTCAGGACGCACGCCGAACATCTGTGGGTCACAGTTTGTTGATTAAAAGTACACAGTTTGATCAGAAATAAGCAAAACTTGCCAGATGATCTGCACAGCTGTGAGACATGATTCACAGCACCGGCTAGGAGCATCCCCCACCCCCCCCCCCCCGCCCATGCGCCCTGTACCGCAGGAGTGGAGCACTCACAAAGGTGGCAGAAGCCTCCAGAGGTGACAGCACTTGCTTAAAAGGGCGGCATATGACGTCATTCGGAAAACCCTGCATCCTGCTCACCGACTGAGAATTTCCTGTGAGGGGATGCCCTGCTGGCCATGCCAAGATCAGAATCTCCGGGCCAAGACCAGAATCCCCGGGCCAAGACAAACACAGTACATGACACACACCAGGGAGGGCTCACGAACCGTGTGTGGTGTCAGTGAGTCTTGTGGCCTTATGTGTGCCTACTCAAAGGGTGGGAAGAGCAAAGAGTAAGTGGAGGACAGAGGAGGGGAGAGGGTAGGGACTGGGTCACGAGGTTGGGGGCACTCTGAGCCATGAGTCCTTGCCAAGGCTCTGCACCACTCTGGGCTCTGATGTTCTCATCTAGGCAATGGGCTAACAACCCTTTACTGTACATTTTCTTGTTTAAGCTGACAAGACACCTGAGGACACCAGCGCAAGTCCTGAACCTGCTTTGTCAAGTTCCTGGAGAAGCTCATTCTAATCCAGGTATGAGGCACGGTTAGAAACTGAAAACATAGTTTGGGGACAATTCACAGAATGAATGGCAGGCTAGGGAGGTGGGACTTTATCCTGGGGGTAATGTGGAGCCACTGAAGGTTTCAGAACAGAGCAGGAACCTGCACCCAGGGATGATTTGGCAAAGCAACGAGGTGATAACCATGGCCAAGGGGAGGGGCAATAAAGGGCTGGGCCCTGCACAGTGCTGGGGGCAGCAAGGACAGAAAGGGATGTCGGACCTTGGGGGCAGCATGGATGGGACTTGGCCACTGACTGGAGGTGAGAAACCTCTGGGCAAAGGGGCTGAGAAAACCTGCATCAAGAGTGGAAAGGCCTTGCCCAACTCTAACAGTATCAAGCAGACATGGAGCAAGAACACGACTGTAGCTAGAAAATAAATCTAATTTACACGTAGTTTTACACTTAGGGGAAAGGATTTAGTTTATATTTCGTTTTTCCAAGAATTTATTTGCTGCATGATGAAATGAGAAACTAGGATGTGAAAAGGAGGAGTGCACCCTGTAGACTCTTTTTTGCTGTCCCTCCTGCCATTGAAGGGAAGGGTGGCCACATAGTGTGGACAGCCTAAGTTCAGGGCTAGAAGCCAGGAGGTTATGTGTTCTAATCCTGGGCCTACCACTGGCTGGGTGGGAGCCTCGACCTTCCAAGAGCCTCAGCCTGCCCATGTGTACACGGAAGGGGAGGTAGGGGCAGACTAGAAGGCCCCTGGAGTTCTAGCATGTCTCAGTTTGGGAATTTTTTTTTTTTTTTTTGAGACAGGGTCTCGCTCTGTGGCCCAGGCTCGATTGCAGTAGTGTGATCACAGCTCACCACAGCCTCACCCTCCTGGCCTCAACTGAATCTCCTGCCTCAGCCTCCCAAGTAGCTGGAACTACAGGTGTATGCCATCATACCTGGCTAATTTTTGTATTTTTTTCTTTTTTCTTGTAGAGACAGGGTCTCACTATGTTGGCCAGGCTGGTCTTGAACTCCAAGGCAAATGATCCACCCACCTCGGCCTCCCAAAGTGCTGGGATTACAGGTGTGAGCCACCACACCTGGCCCAATCTATGGATTTTTAAAAGAAGATGACATGAAAGAGAGGGCAAAAACTAGGTGAACTGGGAGGTGAGGTGGGGCTTTGCTCCCTCAGAACTTACATTTGCTTCTCCAGGGGAACAGCAGGATCCACTCTTTCTCCTAGGATCCCGCAGAACTCGGGGCTCCCATGTTTGATAGGCTTAAAGCCCCCCCCAGGGGCACGAAGCTGGCGCCGCCGGTCCCGCGAAGGCGAGGGGGATGACTGCCGCTTCTCGTTGCCATTAAACTGTGCTGTGGGGAGGGAGAGAGAGAAAGTGCAGGGTTAGCAGGGCTCAGCCCAGGGAGCTACTGTGATGCACAGAAGGGTAACGTTCAGTTGCTCTATTTGGCACTTTATGACTTGCAGGAGGAAGGGTTTCAAGCAAAGAAATAACATGGCACAAAAGATTTTGGCTTCCTAAGACAGGACACCCACGTGGTCATAGCCCAGTGGGGCATGTGAGGGGCTGGTTGTGCCTCCAGAGGCCACTGAGCTCAGCCTTACCCCCACAGGAACCTCTCTGCAGCCTCCAGCAGTGGGGCATGGCACTGCTTTGGGGGAGCTCTGTCCTCAGGACAGTTCTCAGGGGAAAAGGCTGTTTCTTATATTGGGCCAAAAATCTGCCTCCAAGTGGCTCCTCTCCTCCTCTCATCCCACCTCAGGCCATACTGGCCACATCTGTCCCTTTCCCTGGGATACTCCTACAGAGTGCCACTTGGGGGCCATACTACATCCCCTGTATTCAGATCCCCTGCATGGGTCCAGGACCCAGCGCCCAGGTGAGGCTGAAGCAGTGCCTAAAGCACAGGAAGGGCCATTCACATGCTCTTCTCCCCGCCCTGGGCCTGTGGGAGCATCGTTCACTCCCAGAGGCTCGGGGAGGATGCTCCTTGAGGAAGACCCTGGAGACACCACAAAGAACAGAAAGCACTGAGCTAAAACTAGAGTTGCCAGAGGGTTCCTGGAGACCAGTAGTCCACCTTGCCAGTTATCCAGATGGGCCTGTTTCCTTCTTTGAAAAACAGGGATAATGACAGCGCCCATCTCATGGGGATTAAAGCAGGTGACACACCTATAAATCTTAGTAGTGTGCCTGGAATGCAGTCTGTGCTGTTACTATAAATCACACTTATCGTGTCTGCTCAATGCACACAGAGTACTAGGCACCTCATAGAAGCAACTGAACCAACCTGACTTCCTCTCCTAAGCCTGTCAGTGATTAGCTGCAAGCCTCGACTACGCTACTGAACTTCTTCGAGTCCTGTTTCTTGTCCCTCCAGGCTGCTGTGAAGGTCAGAAGGGAGGATACTCCAGGATCTGACACACAGAGGGTGCCTAAGAAACGAGGCCAGAGCCTGCAGAAGAAGGTTCCTGAAGCTGAGGCCAGCTGCAGGCCCACAAACATGTCCCTGGCTGTGCCACACAAAGGCATAAACCTCTCCTCTAATTAGCAAGCATGATTGTGGCAAGCTATCCTCCAAGCCGGGCCAGACACACGGCAATCAACCCCCATGCTCACAGGAGGACCTGGAGAAACCTCAGTGCCAGCGGGGAAACGTGCTGTCTGCTGAAAGCAAGGAGTGTGATGAACCTGTTCTACATCTCAGCCACTGAACCATCTTCCCTATCAGGGACTATGGGGCATTTCTGTCCCTCTAAGACACTCTTTCTCCATTAACCATTTTGGAAAACAGTGGGAAGGGAGGCTCTTGCCAACAGAAGGCTCCAGAGACACCGGACCCACCCACTTTCAGGACTGTGCCGAGTGTGTGGTCAGCCTGCTACCCAGCAGTGACACCGGCAGGTAGTCCACCTGCGATGACGCTCCTAACCACTCATCCACATGTACTAGGCACAGTTCAAGGCCGGGAAAATAGCGGTAGGCGCAACAGACAAGGATCCCTGCCTTATGGAGCGCAGGGGCCTCGTGAGGAGAGACAGGCAATAAATCAATCTGCATATCAACGGCTGGTGACAAGTGCCACTGAGAAAAATACAGCAGGGCAGGAAAGCCCTCTCCAAAGGTGACATCTGAATAAATACCTGAAGCGAGGGAGGAACATCTGTAGGAAGGACACTCCAGGCAGAAGGAAGAGCAAGTCAAGGGCCCTGGAGTGGGACTGTGCCTAGAGTGAGACACAAAATGACCCAGAGTGACTGGAAGGGAGTTGGGAAGGAAGCCGGGCTTCCCGGTCTTAGGAAGGACTCTGGCTTTGTTCTGAGAGACGTGGAGAGCCGTTCTGACCGGGCGCTTCCTTACATGATTGCTGTGCTCAAAAGAGAAGGAGGCAAGGGGTATGTGGGAACACTCTGGACTCCGTCTGATTTTGCTGTGAACCTAAAACTGCTCTAAAATGTACAGTTGACTAATTAGAGGGACAGAGAGCACACAGGAGGGCAGTGAGGCAGTGCCCGCCAGTGGTCAGATCTGGCCACATTCTGCAGGCAGAGATGGCAGGACTTGCCTGTGCATGCAAAGTGCAGCGTGAGAGGAGGAGGACTATGGGTGACCACAGGCTGTTTACCTAAGCACTAGAAGGATGGGCTGGCCTTACCCACGAGAGGAAGACTCACCAAAGGCCCTAATTAAGCTTCCAGGAAAGCAGCATGGAGGCCACGCCTTAGAGACACCTACAGCTCCGTGATGCCAGGGTTGGTGGCGTGGAGAGGGGGCAGAGCGAGGACTTGCTGGGGGTTCCTGACCTTCCTTCTGGCCGCAGTTCCGTCCTGTGTCCAACCACACACAGACAGGAATGACCTCAAGGCCTTCCCAGGGGACAGGTCCTGGGGCTGGAGAGTGAGAAGGCCCTTTCCCATCAGCTGATAAGGGGGCTTTTGTGGTGGTGGGCTAAAACCTGGAGCTGGGGCCCTAGCACACACATACTACCGGCATCTACCCCTCCCTGGACTTCCAGTAGCCTGGATCTCCCACTGGGGTTCCGGCTGAATGAGAGCACCCTCATGGCAACAAATCATGGGACATATGGTCTTGGACAGGAGGTTGATTCTTACCCGAGCCCCTACTTTGCAGAGCCCTCCATGGGTGACCTTGGGCAGGGGAGAGCACTGAGGATGGATAGACAAATTGGGGCCACGTCATCCTCGAGACCCTTTCTAAAGAGCTTGGACTATGGATGGGGATAATCAGAGAATGGGCTTTAGAGACCTCTCTGAGTGCTGGTGGAGGGTGGGTTTGGGGTCAATCCTGAAGATGGGAAGAACAGTCAGGGAAAGGTGATGGAGGCTGACCCCCTCAATGACGGCAGGGATATAGGAGCTTGACTACTTGTGGGAGTGAGCCTGGGATGACTGCTGTGTGATGCCCAGATTTCTGGCTTGGGGGAGGGTGATATTCCCCACTGGGATGGGCACAGAAGGGGATATGGTCAGGGAGCATGGGACCAGCCTGTACTTCTCCACGATACCCCCTGCTGCTAATTTTCTGGTTGTTAGGAATAGAGAGGATACAACTCAGCAGGCATCCTGGCCCACGGGGCTGCCAGTGTCAAAGGGCAGCGGAGTGGCCTGGTATAGGAAGGGGACTAAGCGGCAAGTGAGGTTCTAGGCTTAGTTTTGCCACAGGCTCAGGAGACCGAGGGACCAGATGAATTATAAGTCACTTTCACTCCTGACATCCTGGGGCTCCACTGGCTAAAATCAGGATTGGGGGATTTCTGCCAATATAATTCTCTACAATCGATGTCCTGATACAGAGGCATGGAGCACAGAACATGATTGTGGAGCGAGCCCAAGCTCTTCGGCACAACCCAAAAGGTTCTCTAGGACCCGAATGCTTGTCCAGTCTCAGGTCAACCAACCTCTTCACCTGACTCATTCCACTTACCCTCCAGAGGTCACCTATTTCAGGAAGACTTCCTGGACCTCACCTCTCCCAAGACTCACCTTGATCTTAGCACCCTAATTGCGTGTCCTTCCTGGCTCCTGGTGAGCCCCCTGAGGGTGGGGCTGTACCATGTGCCCCTTCCCCCATGCCTAGCCCAGTTACTGGCAACATAACGGATGTTCAATAAGTGATTAAATGAAGAAACTTAATGAGCTGCTGTTTTGCTTTATTGGGGAAAAAAATTGGTTTTCATACCAGATAAATTGGATTAAAAACTAGTAACATCCTAGTCAACACTGTAATTCCCCACTGAAATAATTTATACATTTGCTGGCAAGCTTAATAATATAGCCATATATCTTAGAGAGAACAGGTGGTGATGAGTGACAGGCTTAATTAGGCAAATCATTTCACCTAAAATACAAATATACGGACTCCAAGTGCAGTGATTCGGCAGCCTAAGAAAAAAAAATGTTAAGAACAAAAGCTGCAAACACAACTGCTCTCATTCCTTCTAATTAAGTTTCTCCTTAATCTGCAATTTAACATGGCAATTCTTTTAATTTAGTAATTTTTTTGCAAAAGATAAAGACACAATCCCTCAAAAGAATATCTGCATTTAGAGAAAAAAGTATGCTACCCCCGTGAGTCATTAGAATGACAGAACCTAATTAATTTCACCTATGGGCAATTAAAAATGGAAGTCGGAATCTGAAGGAGGAAAGTGAGATTTAGAGCTGGGCAGGTTGAGGCTCAGGTTGAAGCTTCTGACTTTGGTTTCGATGATGGAGACCAGATCCTCATGGCTGATGGGAGAGAGAGCCTGGTCAGTATCTTTCCAAAAGTTCTGCCATGGTGACAGGACTCATTCCTTGAGACTCAGCTCAAGTGCCTCGCTTCTAGGAAGCTTTCCTGGCCCTCCCATCTGGATTGGTCCCCTTTTTGCTTGTATTACAGATTTTATACCAATCAGTCCTGAAGTGTGGTCACTGCTAACAACAGAAGACAGCATCCAAGACACCTAGCTTAGTTCTATCCCTCCTACTGGCCCTGCCACATGGGTAAGAGGGGGAGGAACAGAGGTTCAGAGGAAGGGTAGGAGGAACTCCTCCAGGGTCTCAAGGCCAAATAGCAGGGTGAGGGTCGATCCCAGGACTGCAGGCCTGCAGGGTCAGGCTCATCCCACCTTTGGGTCTTCCTTCCCCACAAGAATACCTGAGGGCTGCTGGTCTGGCAGGAGCTGGGCCTCATCTAGCCTCCCTGCTGTGCAATTCCTACTTCTAGGCCTAGAATTACTGTCCTTCTGCTCCATCTGAATGATGTCTAGAAAAGGTCTGGCACAAATGCCACCTCCTCCACAAAGCTTACCCTGATCCCATCTGCAGAGAACCATCGTCTCCCTCTTGGTGGCTCCCAGCCCTCAGTACATCTCCTGTAGTTCAGGGGGCATCCACACCACCCTTCCCAGTCAGCCTGGGTGCTGTGGGTGCTGCGCCTGAGATTTATTTTCCTTTGCTCTCTCCAGTCTCTTGTCTGCCCCTAACTCACAGAAGTTTCATGTGGAGAAGGTGCTTGGATGAGATAAATGTGTTCCTTCAGGGTGGATCTCTTTTCACTGTCCTGTCCACTGTTCAGAGCTGGCCAGAGAGCAAACTCCAAAAAGCCGATGGATCTCTAAAGCATAGCTCTCCTGGGCATGCAAATCCTCCCTGGCTCCCCAGTGCCCCAGGGCAAAGGGCAAATTCATCCTGGTGCTCAAGTTCCTCTGAATTTGATGTAATGATGCATCTTCCCCTACAAAACCCCTGTGGGTTCCACACCCACCCTTAGGCTCCAGTCACAAAGGACAGGCCGTCCCCAGATCCATCATCTGCTTTTTTGTCTTCAGGGCTTTGCTTTGGCAAAGTCTACCCTCTAGAATCCCTTTACTTCACTATTTCTCTGCAAAAACCCCAGCTATTCTTCAGAGCTCAGCTCCAACGTTACCTCCTGAGGTAGGTTTTGCTCTAGACCCCCAGGTAGAACTCCTTTCTCCTCCTCTGAGTGCCGAAGTCTGCACCACTGTCCTGGCACTGGCCTCTGCAACACTGAGGCATGTAGGTGTCTTCTCACAACTGGACACTTCACAGAGATGGGGCCTTGTGCCTCAGTCTCCTTGGAGTCTCCCCATGGTTGACCTGCAGCCAGCTCCAATGAATGGCCCATGGCTGAAACCCACCCAAGGAATGGAGGAGCTGCAGTGTCTCGACTCACAGCTTAGGAATCAGGAGGACCTGGGTTTGAATCCTGTCTCTGTCATTACTGAGTGACTTGGGGCATGTTTCTTAAACTTCTTTGAGCCTTAGCTGCCTCATCAGCAAACCAGGGCTGACAATACCTGTACCGTGAAGGTAATAAATAACGTACCAAGGTCCAGGCAGGCCCCCTATAAGCAGGTAACCCCAACCCATGGCCACATCTATGCTCTGAAACAATGCCTGTATCAGAAACCACCTCTTTTTCTATGGCTCCTGCTGAAATTCTGGAGTCAGAAGCTCTAAGAGGACAGGGCATTTCATTCTGTTTTGTTCAAGGCTAAATCCCCAATACCTAAAACAGTGCCTGATGTACAGTGGATGCTCAACACCTGTTGAAGGAATGAACCTGCACCCTGCTCAACAGGACTATAATCTTCCATTCATCAGCCAACAAAGGAAACTCAGGAGCTGGACTCACTCAAGTGACTTTGGGAACAATTTTGAAAAATGGCTTCATCTTTCTTTTCTTTTCTTTTTTTTTAAGAGCCAGGGTCTCGCTCTGTCGCTCAGGCTGGAGTGCAGTGGCATGATCATAGCTCAATGTAACCTTGAACTCCTGGGCTCAAGCCATCCTTCTGCCTCAGCCTCCCAAGCAGTTGGGACTACAGGTGCATGCTACCATGCTGGGCTAAGTTTTTTTTTTTTTTTTTAAGTTTGTAGAGGTGGCATCTCACTATCTTACCCAGGCTGGTCTTGAACTCCTGGCCTCAAGTGATCCTCCTACCTCAGTCTCCCCAAACACTGGGATTACAGGAAGGAGCCACCACGCCTGGCCTATCTTACTCTTTATTTAGTGATTCCTGCTCATGGGCAGGCACCATGGAGGACTTAAAGTCTGTGTTTTTCTCTAGTCATTGTGGCAAACCTATGAAGTCAGTGCTATTACTGCCCATGTTTTTACAAGTGAGGCCTGGTATGGTCAGGTAACTTGCCCAGGGCAATAGGAACAGGTTGCTATGACAGGTAGTGGGTCCCAGCGCTAGCCCTTGAGCCCTCTGCTTTGGGACTGCAGCCCTGGGCAGCCTCCCCCACCCAGGAGTGCCTTTCCCGGCGGAGGTGCAGTGAGAGAAGAGTTGACAGTCTGCCACACATCCTCTTGTCCTCACCACTGACCAAGGGGGTGGGCAGTGGCTCCCGGGGATAGGGGGTCATTCAAAGAGAACTGGAATGGAGCAACAGGACCCAGAGGAGACGGGTATGGTTCTCCAAGTTCTGACTGTTTGGCTGCTTCCTTCTGGCCTGAAGTCTATGACCCTCTCAGTTTTCCAGTATAAGATGAAGTTTCCTTTAAGCAGAGGCAATAAAGGTTGGAACGATGAAAAACAAGTCACTGTGTGTAGACTGAGTTGCAAGGAGCTCTCAACAGCCATAGTCTTCTTAGCCCCTCTGCGGATGAGCTGGAATGCACATGGGCCACATTTGTAAACTATATGTGGCTGACAAGAGGGGCTTGAAGGCTGTTCTGGCCCTGGCGTTAGTTCACAAATGTTCTAGTACTCTATAAAAACAAAGTACAGAGGCAGAGTCAAGGTGCCCAGGGCCTTGCACACAGTCCCCGGCAGGGGTTCCTGCATAGCACTGACAGCTAGGCTGGGACTCCAGTGTGCTGGTGAGGGGGAAAGGTGGGTGAGAGTGGGGAGAGCTTGGGGTGGAGAGCACAGAAGGGGCTGCTGACCAGGGAGCTGTGCGACCCCAGAAAGGGGCAAGGAGGGGAGATTATGCATTGGTATGGGAGGTGGGATGGACTACCTGACCCCCGGAGTCTATGAAAATGCCATCAACTTTCACAACAATGCACTAACACCGGTAGATGACTGAAACTCTCTTTGCATGACAGTGGGCCTCTGCTGTTTCAGCTTTCCAAACAATGTACTGTATCATCTCATCTGACCCTCACCAACACACAGCAAAACAAGTATTAGAATTCCTAAACAAGTATGAGAACTCCCATTTTATAGATGACACAACCGAGGCCCAGAGAGGTGAGGCCCCTTCTTCCCTCCAGTTCAAGAGTGAGTTTCGCTCACCCACCTACCCCACCTGCCCAGTGAGTGCAGGTTCCTTCCAGATACCTGCAGGACAAGTGGCTCAGCAAATGTTTGATTTGTATTTCCAGGATCACCAACAAGAGGCCTCTGTGTTCGCCTGGAAGACACACACAGGCCTCAGGGCATTGTGCTGCCACTCAAGATGGGAGGTGCTTGAGAACAGAGGTCCTCATTGTGAAGGGAGGCAGCCAGCAACTCACCACAAAGCAGGCAAGCGGGAAGGCTGTGAGGCAGGTGCCAGGACGCTGCCTGGGTTCCAGGAATGCCGTACACACATGTCCAAGCCTGGGATGGGGACAGCGGGCCTGGTAGAAGGGGCGTGCCTTTGTCCTCTTATTTGTGACATCCCCAGAAGAAAAATGAATGCTATTACTGGGAGCAAGGACCCCACCCTAAGATCTGCTGCTTGGCTACAGGAAATCTAAAGATAAAGCCCAATGAAGATGATGAAATAACCCGAATGCAGAGGCCTCTACGGCTGCCAAAGCAAGCCATATTTATTGTCATAATTCATTATGCAGATGGGAAATGGAGGGCTGGAAAAAGGACTGACTCACCCAGAGTCAACAGCTAGACGTGAACTTGGACTTGAGTCCAGGTCTCCTGAATCCTAGAGGCCCCTAACAAGTTTAGCACAAACCCTGTGTGCAGTGCAATACAGTCTCAAAAACAACCACAGTACCCACAGTGATACAACTATGAGTACTCACTGTGGCCCCAACTCTCAGTGCATAGTACCACCCCCACTGTACAGATGAGGAAACAGAGACAACTTGGCCCAGGTCATCCCGCCAGCAAGTGATAGCACAGGACTTGAAATCCAGATACCCCTCGCCCCGGCGCCTGAGTTCCTTCCTGAGTTCT